AGATCAAAGTGTTGGTTTAAAGCAGACCTCAAGAGATGATTCCTCATCTACAGAGCAACGGTCAGGCAGCAGGACAGGTAAAGTATTTACAATCTTTCTTAAAAGGGTGCAGCTTTATTTCAACCTTTAAATCAGGGTCATCTTAAGCCAATGTACTATGCAATCTTCTCTCCAGTTGGCAGTATGGATCTTAAAATAGTCAGGATTAGGAATATTTGCCCTGTAGCATTAAACCACAGAACACCAGAATAAATGCATCAAGGAGACTGTAGAGGTGTTTTAATCAAACACTGCTTTTCCCATTTGAACACATACTGAGCATTTGAATGGAAAATGCAGAGCTTCATAATAAAAGGCTGCATTTGACTTGCTTTACCTGCAGTACAAACACACCTCAAGAGGACATGATGCTTCCAAAGAAAAGAAAAGCAGCATAAAGCAGGTCAAATGCAGACTTTGAACTGTTATGTGTACTGCACAATTAAAGTCAATGGGATTTGCTGAGCTGCATTTGAGGTAATCTCCAAACACACGCCAAGTGCAGGAAAATAACAGACATAAGCCTCAAAAATAAAACAGTGAAATGTCCGCTTATGCTGCAGCTCCCCGAACGGAAAACTCAGTAAAGCAATAGAGAAAAACATACAAATCGTACACCCCGTTTTCCTGTAGGCGCCAATGTCATTGTGCGCTCACCGCAGGATTCTGGGAAAGCTCAGGATCTCAAATCTCAAAAAAAGACATCGTTGTGCAGGAGGAGTGCATTCTCCTCCTGCACAACGGGAAGTCGGGACGGGAAAAATTTACTAATGTGTAGCTGACACCCTCAGGAACTATGTACTTGTGTGCTCGCTCTCAAAGCCCTGAATCTTCCTGGTCTTTGCAGTATACGTGTGTGAAAGGAATGTTTGTGGTACACTTAGAATGATGCAACAAACAGGCATTTTATAGATAGAGTTTTGCACATGACACTGTGTTTCACATGTTGAAAGGTCATGTGCTCAGCCAAGGCCTACTGGCATTATATACAGCCCTACTGCAGGCAATCAACATTAATATATACAAAAGAGGAAGAGTGAAGAAACATCTCTCTTAAAGAAGGACCCAGACTGGTCCTCAAAGACGCCAACTATATTACAAACAGTCAGGAAAGAAGGCTTGCCCTCTGGATGACAATCATCCAGGCTAAATTAATTGTACATATGCCCACTGAGGAACTAAACTAGACAATCTTAGTACCAGCTTTGGTAGCTCGACAGGAACTAAACATGTTCAAAAGGCTTGGACATCATCATCAGACAGCAGGGTGTCTAAAGAGCAGACGATCTTCAGAACGCATCAAGAGGCTTCACTCAATAGAGTGGCCCTTCACAAGTAAGAGGTCTTCTGTTCGTCACTGTGTTTGCCTGATGAAGGGACCATGCTCGATTCCGAAATGTTGCTTTTTTGCACTGTGCCACTATGGTTACCTAGTGTCTGAATAAAAGACGTCCAGCATGTTTGAGCTTGGAGTGCAGGTGACTACTTCAATACTTCTGTGCGGGATGATACTAGTTAAAGCAGACTTGTGTTGTGGATGTTTGCATAGAAGGTAGCACTGTTTGTAGATATTGAGGTTTGTACACAATAGCACAGAATTTACTAATTCTATAAGTTTACAGATAAATCTATCCTAAAAAAGGTAAGGAATTTTTAAAATATATATAAACCCACACTACTAAAATCTTGTATAATCTTAAACAAATGTAAAAGTTTTTTTGGAATATTTTTAAATCTGAAACGTTTATTATAATAATATCAGGCAATCCCACCATGAAGGTCCTTGTGCAGACATGTCCTGTTATTGGGCAACGATGGTCTGTTCCCGTCTCTCAACTGTTTTCCTGCATGTTGTCACACAGGCTTCTGATGGGAGCTACAAATCTGCGCTGACACACAATGTTTGGGCATGTTCTACTGGGGTCACACGCAGCATTTGCTAGAATGCATGCATGTAGACTGATGTGACTACAAAGAGGCTGCAGTAGATCAGTGTGCTCAGATACAACAAGGGCTGAAAAGTGGTGAAAACAAGTTTTTTTTTTAAATTAAAATTAATTCTTTATTTTTCTTGTTTTTTTAATACAGTGTTTTATTAAACTAAATGTTGCTCTAAGGCTGCATGGATTGCTGCAACTTAAATGGTATCAACTAACAGGAAATGGAGAATTACACATTTATAGGAAGGGCTTTGCGATTATGTACTTTTTTTTGGCATGCTGCAGCATGGGAAATGTCACAGCTTTACCCAAGATCTTCTAGATCTTCTCTCTATTAGAAAAGCTATGCAGAACAAAGCCATTTTCCCAATACTTTCTGATTTTAAATAAGAAAATCAGAAAAGGCTCAAATGCATGCAAAGCTGGGAAATGTACATTATACAATGAAAGGGAAGAAACCATTGCAGGCTATATGGGTACTTGTAGTTCCACTAGACAGAAGATACTAGTAAACAGCAGCATAACATAAAACAAAGCTATGTATCAGTGCCTGCTTTTGGTTTTCGGGTGCAGTTTGAAAGAAAATGACATTTCCATCAAATTAGAATGGGCATTATTAATGCATAAAATGTATCTCTTTCTGAATGTGATCCCTCTACATCAGTCACAGAATGCCCTGTTTGCAGACAGTCTTCAGTTACTGGGTAATGTTATCCAATTTTTGCAGCAATTCACGATCAGAACAGAAACACCAAGTGAACACAACCAGACACTAAGTTTACTAGCGCGTTTCAACATCTCTCAACAACTCAACAAAAATGGAGGACAACCACGTTAACCAGATGGACTGTTAGGTTCCTAACTTGTTAAAAGGAAACCTGTATTGTACTGAAAGGAACATGGGGGTGGCCATTTGTAAAAATGATAATTTTCTGAATGTCTGTCTTCAATACAGTCCGAATCCAGGAAAATGATGCAGCCAGGAACATCACAATGTTTGTTCTTAGTCAGGGACCGCATTGAAGACACGGTTATGAGCATGACAGCCAGATAAATAGCATTTTCAGTTGGGGAGAGGGCAGCAATGAAAGTTTCAGTACTTCTCTTGGTACAGGTTTCCTTTAAAACCATGCTGCTATATTTTATTATCAAGTACAGGGAATGTAAGGAAAGTATTCTCATGCAATTCATCTCATATTTACTGTTATTTATAAGAGCAATGAAAGCAATTTACACTGACATTTGTAGTCCTTTCTATTAATATTTCAGATTTTCTGTCCTAGTCAAATTAATGTTCTATTGTGTAGCAGTAGACAACTCTTCATTTTTCCTCCTCCACATAGGCCTTAGGATGAGAGATGTTAAATCACTGCCACCTAGTGACCATATTAGATTTATACCAAATGTAAGCTGTACATGATGTCATTTTTATCGAATAGAATTAAGGATAACAAGCTGGCCTTCCCCTGCCTAAGCATTGTGAGCATATACACTGCATCTTCAATACACAATTGTGAGCTACAACATTCACATCTACTCCCATTGCTGTGACTTTATTATTTTTAAACATATGTTAAACTAACAAATACAAAAATGCATTTTCTTTCTCAACAGAGGCTGTCCTCTGCCGGTAGTTAGACCTAAATAGCCATAGCGTTCCATCCCAATACTTATAAACAGAAAAAAGCCTATATAGCCTATACAGCCTATAAAATGCATAAGGCCTCATTCACACAGCTAAAGAGTCGGCACGTACAGATCCGTTCACGGCCTATCGGGCCGTTCCTGGGAAGGTCAGGTGCTGCGTGTAATTGTACACAGCAGCCTGTTCTTCTCTATGAGAGGAGGCGGCCATACGCTCACCCGAGCTGCACATCCGTGCGGGTGTCCGTACTCATCCAAAAAGTGACTCAGACAAAAACTAAAAACACATTCTCAGTTGAGTGGAGAAGGGTCAGAACTGTTCATAAAGTTTTTGTTGCTGTCTGTGCCTTTCTGTCTCTGTAACAACCACACCCCCAATTCCTTGTACTGGTTTCACAGGGACAGGAAGTGAGGGAAAATCTCCCCAAAGGGATCACAAATGGAAAGAAAAGCCTAACAAACTGCATTTTTTATTTTTGGCACAAAATGCAAGTTACAACTGTAAAGTAGCTTCACTTGCTTTTGACAAAGAGGTCTACTACAGTGTAACATGTGGAGTGTGCCCAGGAGCCAGATTCCGCCTTCATTTCATGACCCCAGCTGAATATCATATTTTTGTTTCTCTCGAAGGATGCAGGTTGTTAACCCGCTGTGTTTTTAGTGTAGCTATTTTCACATTTAGCACATTTCACTAGAAGTTTCACTAGTATTATATTCCCCATATGTTTAACACATATTACTTAATACCTGAAAATTGTAATTTTTGTGTTTAGTTTCTGCAGCAAAGTCCCAATACAACAGTTTTCAGGCACCCTAGAAGAAAGGTTACAAAGACATGATGCATTGACTCATAGTGCATATGATGCTGTTTGCACGCCTACTTGCAGGCAGAATATGTGGGCTGAATTACATATATTATGTTAGTGTACCAGAATGTAAACTCGTTGCAGTGAAAAGTGCCATGGCCAACTGCTTTCTGCCTTTTCAGTGAAAAGGAATTTGATGGGACTGTGAATTAAAGTCCTGCCTGGTATTATTTTCCACAGCTCTGATACAAGTCGTCAATGAAGAATCTGTCTCCTTTGCAATGCGTGGTCAGGAATGAAGAGGAGTTAACTGTCAAAATCTGTATCTCAGTTTCTACTGCACAGAGAAGCATGGGAGAAAAAAAAAAACAACAACATACACCATGGGAGTCAGGTGACTGAGCTGTGAAAAATAATACAAGCTGAGACTTCTTCTTTAACCCCTTCGTGACTGACGACGTACAGTGTACGTCGACAGCATCGGGGCTGTTTAAACAACTAGGGGTAGACTTATAATAGTTAAGAAAATCTATAGTTTTTAAACAAACGGATGAAATATGACTGGACTTACATTTTCCAATATCGCCTTCCAGCTGTAATATCTGTGGGACTGGCATGGTGAGAACAACAACATCAAAGGCTTCAGGAGATCCAGATTTGCAGGACACTTCCCATTTGCCATCTCTGAGGTTTATCTGTGTGACATGTCGCTCATAACAGACATCAGAACCTGCTTAGAATGGGAGGACAAGTAACATTTACTTACAAGCCAGAGTTCAATGTTCACCTGTCACTTTCATTCAGTAAAGATAGTCATACTGTCACAGAACACAACACAAAACTTGCAACCTTTAAAACAATTGATTGGGAAACGCATCAACTGTCTCAAAGGCTAAAATCCACTCATTTTACTATAACAGCTGTATAATTCAATTCGAACAAGATGAAACATGGCTTTCACAGTGCATCTGGAGTGTGCAGTGTCTCTGCATCTCTTTCCTTCATGTGTTTTGTCTGGACTGAAACTTTAACTATTTCCATCTAAACGAAACCTTCTGTGAAGACATTAGAAAGAAGCCATCAGCAATTTGTTTTTGAGGTGCAAGCTTCAGATCGGTCATTTTTATCCTTTCCTCACTGCATAGTATACCACTGACCTTGATCAAGAACCTTAGAGGTCTAAATATCTGATATTCACGTACTTCACAGAGGAGCTGTGGCTATATACATGGGAACTCGTTGCTGTCATAGTTTTGCTGTAATTTTTATAGTGTAGACAGAGAATGACTGAAAATACCAAGGCTAGATGATGATTCAGATAATGTTCAGTGGTTTTGTGCATATTTACTTTCTTTAACATAATTAGGACTTATAGAATATATATTGTTTCTTTTTTTAGAAAAGGTAAATAGGAAATGTTATTTATTCAGTCCAAAGTTTCAAAGCCTTAAAGCAGGCAGCCGCAGTGCTAAAATGTATTCACTTCCTGTGAATCTTTATGATTTTAATGTTGGAGATTATTGAATCACTGATGAATAAGAATAGAATATATAATGTCAAAGTGAAAACAGATGATTTATTTGAGGGTTTTAAATGGCCTGCTACTGCTTTCTATGTTTTTAACACGATAAAAGTTATGATGATGTCAATCAATGTAAATTGTTCCTGCCTCCCCCGGTGGCATTTTCGAACAAGGTAAGGGAGTCTGGCTGCCGTGCGGGAAAGCAAGAAGGCGCCAACATGCAGATCTTCGTAAAAACCCTTACTGGGAAAACAATCACGCTAGAGGTTGTGTTGAACCCAGCGACATGATCGAAAATGTTAAGGACAAAATCCAGGACAGGGAAGGTATTCCTCCTGACCAGCAGGGTCTGATCTTTGCTGGCAAACACCTTGAAGATGGATGTACGCTGTCAGACTACAATATCCAGAAGGAGTCAACCTTGCATTTGGTGTTTTGTGGTGGTATCATTGAGTCCTCCCTTAGGCAGCTTGCCCAGAAGTACAACTGTGACAAGATGATTTTCCGCAAATGCTATGCAAGGCTCCATCCTCGTGCTGCAAACTGATGCAAGAAGAAGTGCACTTGGGCAGTTGAACCCAAACAATGTAAATTCAGGCGTATTTCACCTGCCAGAGAGTCACAGGTGGTGCCCACAACCTTCTATAAAAGTGGTTGTACTGTACAGAGGTATAAGCTGCTACTTGCGTTCAGTTTTGCATGCATACAGGCACAAATTCCTTAATGTAGAAAACCTACATTACAGTGTGGTTGTATGCAAGTAGCAGAGTATACTACAGTGTGGCTGTATGCAAGTATCAGAGTATACTACAGTGTGTCTGTATGCAAGTATCAGAGTATACTACAGTGTGGCTGTATGCAAGTAGCAGAGTATACTACATATCCAGAAACTGTGGCTCCCTGGTGGGGGAAATACACTGGAATTTATGTTGTTAGAGTTCAGCCGCCAATGTGCATGAGCCCTCAATTGGTCCCCCTGACTGTATAGCAGGGGCCCGCACATGGAGGCAAGGAGACAGGCCAAATTTTGACAATCCAAGATCAGGTAACGATCTACATAACAGTGTCCCTGACATTAAGAAGCCTGGAGGTGTCACCTATACAGTCCATTTGACAATTAACCATGTCTCAATGCAGCAGGTTTGTTTATAAATCCCTGCTGGATAGAATACCTCCAGGTAATGTAATGACTGCCCCAGCTGGCTGTTGTTCTGTGGTAAACAAAGAATGTTCCTCTCCTTTAGCTTTAATACATAAATCCTTTTATTACGAACGTTCAATAAACACTGGTTCAGTCGTTAAAATGCACCACACAAAAGGCAACAGCTGCTCTCCAACTATACTACAGTAATAAATCATACGGCTTTGGCCTTTGCTTTTCTTTATAAAAGCGATTATTTGAGTCACTTGTTAGGCAATTATAAAAACACGTAAGTAGGAGAAATCAAAAACTCTGTTTCAATTAAATTGGCACCTCATGTATGTTACTATTCATTTTCCTTTTTAAAAACCTAAGAAACCTTTTAGTGAGCCAAGACACCCACCAGCTATTCTAATACCAGGACACCAGTCAGTAACCAGAGCACACACTTGGCACGGTTTGCCTAATGACCACTGTTAATGATCGCATTTTTAATAAGTAAAAGAATACTTTTGAAAGGCCAGCAGGGAAAATTAGCATTGCTGAGTCACAGTGTTTGGCATTTGCTATACTTTTTAAATAAAATCTAACATGGAAATGATCATTTTCTTCCATTACAAAATAGTAACAATTACAAAACAGGGTTAAGTATTAAAGCTCCCTTTAATTCTAGAGACCTTTAAAGTGTATTCAAGGATGACGTGTCCACATAAAGGCCAAACTAAATAAAACTTCCATTAAAGATGCTAAAGAACACCAATGATGTGAACAAATAGTTCATAAATGCCACTAGCACAGCGGCAGAGCAGCCTTTATTTGTACTCTGTAACCATAGACTAATTACATATCATAATTGAAGCCCAAAGCATAGCTACACCCACACTGCCTGAGTCAACAGATCCACCTGAGGGCACTGGAGAAACTGTTCATGCAAATTTTGCATCGCAGAGCTATCTCCCCAACGTCTGCAGAGACAGTACATTCTTTGAAACTGTGGGGTGTGGTTTAGCACAAGTAGAAATGGATGACACAAGTACTTCTGCCAAATATAGAGAAAAGTAAATTAAATTGTATGTGCGGCCAAAACCTTTTTTTTTTATAATTTTGGGTGAAGTGGGAAAGGATTAGAATGCCAGTTTTGTTTTACAAAGGCCTTAAATGAGACCCTAACTGAATAGCATATTGTTTGTACTGTGTATCAAACAATTGCCCTTTTTTTAATAAAACGTTTACATCTTTCTCTCATTGTTTTAACATCCCAGCAATGCTGATGCTCTACAGCCTCTATCTGTCTACACGCATGTACCCAAGTAATGGCTAAAAAGCATCTCTCAGGGTGGGTTTCCTGAAGGAGATGGGATAACAGTGTAGAAACAGCCACCAGCAGGCTAACTAAAAGTGATTTGGGTGGCTGTGCAGCCACCAACATGACTTGTACAAAATGAAATCGCCCACTCTACATTTAGCCCTGCTTGCCCCCAAACAAACAAAAACACCCACCTGGCACGGACACCCATAATGAGGAACTTCTGGATTTCCCCGACATGCAGGAGAACAGCCTGATACCTTATATTATACATGGTGGTGCTGGTGGGTGGCTGTCTAAACCCTTGGAAGCCCTGCCGCCCTAGGCCATGGCTAATGTTAGCTATGCAGAGAATGGTTACTGCCATAACAAAGTACCAGAACAAGGACCTTCATGGCAGGATCACCGGGTATTTAAATAATGAAAGTTGAAGATATTTTGGGGATTGGGTTTACAAATACTTTGACTGCCGGGGCCTGCTGTTTGGAATGGGTGCCTGTATCAAAAGAACTAGCTGCGCACAATTACAAATCCTTTGGTGGATAAA